CTAAAATTCATCAGAAAGTATTAATTTGTATTTTACAAATTATGAATAATATTATAATCCAGTTTGGAGTTTATATCGAAATTTGAGGCATTTTAGCCGTTTCAAAGGCTAATTTCCTGTCGTAACAATAACTAATTATAAGAGTTAGTATGGTTGTTTTAGGTTAGTTTACCGAACAGACTCGAATAGCAAGCAAGTAATTACATATTCAAAATTATGAATTATAATGAATCCTGTCGTAAGTTAATTTAAACTTTCTTGATATATAATTTTTTTTAAAAAAAAGCAACATGATATCAAGAAAATAAGTGGCTATGTTTTGGTACTTTTTATTTTATTATTGTCGTTACATTTTTGATATTCTACTATGTTCCTTGATGATAAAAAGGTATATAAACATAAAATTTTTTTTTTATTAAAATATTAATCGGTTTAAAGAGAGAACAAATAGCCCCAAGATAAATCGAGATCTTATTTAAACTGTTTTATGCAACTTGTTTTTCCTTACAATTCATTTTTTTAAAACAAAATATAATTAACTTAATACGTATCAGCTAAACGATTATCCAACAACTATCAATTTCAAAAAGTGACGAAGAGAAATCTAGTGCAAAAAATTAATTATAAAAATAAAAGTTGGAAAGAAAAATGGAAAATTGATATAAAGATGCGAATGCATTTGAGAATAAATATTTTTGAAAATTATTATCGTCAGATTAGATTAGATTACTTATTTTTGTTAGTTGATATTGCATTGTGAGAATTACTATCGAATAGTCATTCTCAACGCAGTCTCTTATAATGAAATAACTCCTGATAACAATTTTCGTTTTATTCTCAAATGTATTCATTAGTACAAACAGAAGAAGCTGGATAATTAAGATTCTGAATGATACTGAAACGACTAATGGAGATCTCAATATAATTAGAATCGTCTTTTTATAATATTTGCGTCTGATATTTCGAAAATTTAGATGATATAATTTGATGTAGAATGAAACTATGGGAACAAGAGAAGCAATCTATCTATTACAGAAATAATTAAAAATGGATTGTACATCTGAATGAATAGTTTGCTATTAAAAAGATAATCTCTTCGTAAAGGTGAAAATAAACCGATATTTGAATTCTTTTTTTTTTTTATCAGGCAAATACAAATGCACATTCTAATAGAAAAAACACGTATATAGGGATAGAGTCTGAACAAACAATTCGTTTTTAGAGAATTCAAAATTATATTTTTTATTTTGCATGTTAAAATTTTAATAATATTAATAAAAAATTTTTATAAAATTTTGAAAGTAATCATCAATCGAATTTCAAATATAAAAATGATAGATTCGATATTTGTAAAAATACAATTTTAACAATGCAAATTATTTAATATCTAAATATTACTCACCTTGTATATTTCTTCATTGCTTCTCTCTTTCTTATTCCATTTTCATAATTAGTTTTATCTTTTCATTTTTCTCATTTCTTCTTTTTTTTCCCTAAACTTTGCAATTCCACATATTCTCTAATCTCTCAATCATCGAAAAACTTCTTAGAATTCTCCTTAAAAAAGTTTTCTTCACCGTGCGGAAGTTTTTTCACATACAATAGTTCGGTTTGTTTTCTCGGCAATTCGACTTTTCTTCTTTGAAGGTGTACGTAATATAATAAAAAAGTATCTCACGTCTTTCTGAGTATCTAGAGAAGTTGACTTTTATTACCTTCTTTTGATTTCAAAAAATGTTTCTAACGAATTTCGTATGGAAATAAAATTTCACAATTGTTTGTTACGAATTAGTTTTTTGAAATATAATTTTAAAATATAAATATAACAAATTTGGATGTAAAAATAAAATTGGATGTTAACTGAAAATAAATTTTTATTCGAATAATAATTATCGAAGTAAAATTTTTATTTTAGTTTCTTACTTGCCATGTTTTTCATCTTGAATAATATTATTCGAAATATAAATTATATTTCTGCGTGTCAGAATTATAATAAAGCGACAGCCATCATTGAACATCTGTTTTATCACGTGTTATGATTAAAATGTCAGCAAGAATTGATGGATTTTAGATGTTTTTTCAAATTTGATCATTATTTAAATATATTTAAATGTTATATATATTAATTACTATTTATATTATATTTTTCATAAGTTTATAAACTCATTTGAAAAGAACAATTGAAGAATTATTATTGTAAAAATATCAAACAATTTTTCAAAATTAAAAAATTGCAGTTTTTAAAATTTATCTTTTCAAAAACTGTGAATCCTTTTTAAAAAATGTTTGATCTGAAATGTTTTCCAACTTTTATATCACATGCGCGATCAAAATTGAGAAAAATATATAAATATGTAAACAAGAATAAATATTTTATCATTTTTTCGAGTATGTGATACAAAATTTTGCAATGGAAACCTAATTTTTTAAAAAAGGTAAAAAATACTCATCTAAGATGAATAATAATATTAGAAACTATTAAGCGTTTCCAATTTCTAGTCAATGTGATCTTTGTATGCATGTCCAATCACACTTCAATTTGCATTTTCATGAAACACGTTAAATTGTTCGCAATAAATACTGAAAAAATCATTTTTATCGTTATTATTATTTCCAGATTCATTTAATTCATCTTTTTCTTTTAATTTTTATTTTTTAATTCTTCTTACAAAATAATTTATTATACACAATAATTAAAAAATAGGATAAATTCGAAAATAGAATAATTCATAAGAAAATAATTTAATAATTTATATATAAAATGTTAATATATTCGTGAAATACTTTTGGAATGTCAATTCTAAAAGTTAAAACAAATATAAAAAATGATACAGTCTTATTTATTAAATTATGAATAATTTAAGTTTGCATTAGATGAGAAAAGAACAGACAGAGCGATTTCATTTTATTTCTATCCCATTTCATTTAATGCAAATTTCAGTTTTTTATAACTTAATAAATAAATTTCGACCAATATATCAATTTTTACAATTAGTCTTTAGAATTGATGAAACAATTCAAAAATCTTCCACGAATATATTTTATATACATCTTTAGTACATCTTTTCTAATCTTTGATGATAAATATTTGAGTATGATAATTAAATAGCTAACGATTTTTTTTTTTATTTAATTGTGGAAATAAATATTAATATTATGATATAGCACGATTTTGTGTAAATTTCCATTCGTATTTCATTAATATAAAAAAAATATAAAATATTACGTATATAACAATATTTATTATTGAACAATAAAAATAAAATTCTAGAAAAGAAAATAAGATTTTAATAATAAAAAAATTACGTAACACATAAAATAACACATAAAATAATTACAGGTAATATGAGTTAATTGTAAGTGTAACATTCTTTGATTGAAAGATCGTTTGATTTTTGTAAGCTTTTACACGCTACTTTTCGCTTACAAAAGCTCATAATATCGATTCTGTTCTGTTCTTACTTCGTGTTGCTGACAATAGAAGAGATCTATGGATAAAGCAGGCTCATTGACACTTTATACCTACTTTCTGAATCTCTTTCAAAAGCTCAATTAGGAAATCATTCTTTTATTTTGAAAAGATTAAATAATCAATGAGTGATTATTATAAATAATAGGCATGAAATTATATTTGCATAAAATGCTTCAAATGTATAAAAAAAATAATGTATTTAAATATATATATATATATATATTATACGTTAACTATTTATTTTTTTTAATTTTTCATTTTATTTACAAATAATTACGTCCACTTTTTAGATAATTGATAATTTTAATATTTAATTATTGAAATTTGGATTTGAAATTGAACAGATAAAGTTTTACATTATAAAAAGAAAAAAATGTCTTTAAAAGAAATTTTGTTTTCTAATAATCTTTAAGATTCTTATCAATTTAATATGATCATTTTTCTTGCTATCATTAATACATGCTTAATATTATGCTTAATAAAAAGATTAGAAACAATTTCTCGTTATTAGAAAATAATAATTTTTTATTGAACAAAGATAATTTATAATTCGGCTAATTTGAATTCAAATAATGAATGATTAAGTTTTACCAGTTTTAAAGTAGAAAATATGTTAACAAATCAATACAACTATGTCAGAACAACATATCAGATAAGTAAAAGTGACATTATTATTAACATAATTTTTTTTATAGTTTGTGAGATTTACGTGTAAGATCCTGTAAATATTATAATTTATTATTCTTTTTCTTTACAATAGTAAAATATATAATTATTCTAATATTTTTCAAAACTATTCAAAATATAAAAATTATATAATAATATAAATATATTTTTAAGGTTTTATTTTTATATTTTTAAAATTACTATGTTTAATATTTGCTATAGAAAGTATAAGTCAAACGAAGATTAAATCGATGTGTGCAACAAATCAGATTTTATGGTTGGCTGCGCAATACCTTTATTTATTGCCTTATTGATATCTAATATATGATTAGAAAATGAAATTGAAAATTTCTATAGATTCAATAAGGTAAAATTGAAATTAAATTATAAATAATTTCTTGAAAAATAAAACTATATCATTAAAGTTATCACTTATATAATATTACCTATATAACATTGAAATTCACATTATTATTATTAAAAAAAATAAAAGGATGAAATTAGTATTATAAGTTACAAATTTATTTATATATTAAAATTTATATAATTTAATAACTAGTAATTATAACTAAAAAACATGAGATTTTTAATTTCTATAATAAAAATCATTTTTTACATCATCACTTCAATTTTGTTGTATTTTTTGTTGTAATTTTTCTTAAAATAATTCATTAAAAAAAAATCTGTATTCTATCGTCCGAAAACTCTTTTATCTGAAAAGTTTTATCCGTTTTATCTGATAATAGAAGTTTTACTGTAGTATTTTGTAAATAAATATTATATGAATTCATTTATATTGTTATATATAATTACAATTTAGATAAATATATTCTTAATATTCTTAACAAGAATTTTTTTTCATTTATTAATACAATAAGAACCATACATATATAATTACGGATTTTATTCATTATAATTAATCTAATATTTATGTTGAATCTTCTAATAAAATACGTAATGTAGTAAAGATGGAGAATGCATTGGAGAGATACTGAAATTTAATAAATTCGTTATTCGTATACGTTACTCTAAAAGCTTAAATATCAGAAAATATTAGATTTTGTTTCAAAGCAAATCTTAAGATCTATCAATAATTCAAAACAAGCAACTAATACATATAATGGATAAGCTAATTAAAAAGCTGCTTTCTTATGAATTAAGGCATAAAAATATATCAAATACATATTATTACATATAAGTTATATTAAATTATGATAAATTGATCGATATTTCACAAAAATATCACATTTATTATTAATATTTATTTATAACGAATATGGAACAATTCTTGAACGAAACGATCGATATTATAACGAATTGATTTGGTAATATATTTCGAGTTTGTATTGATAGGTTAATCGTAGGACTTGCTAGATATAGCTTAACATAACCTAACATTTTCCGATGTTCGATAGTTTTTAGAGTAACATATAATATTCCATTTTAAATTTATATCGCAAAGAACATTTGAAAAATTGTTTGCCTTACTGAACAATAATAATGCAAAGTAAGTTCTGGTACTATACAGCTGATGGAAAAGGTTATTGGTTTTTGATATATCAATACGTTAAGCAAATACTTTCGCATTTCTAACGTCTGTTCATACCATGATAACTCATACACGCTTCTCGATATGTTTATACTCTGTGAAATTGTTAATTGCATTTACGAAAAAAACTCATAAATTATGTATAAATAATAAATAAAGTATAACAATAATTTACCATATTCTTCACATAGTCAGCTGGCCATGCGTATATATAAATCTCCGTCATTATAGTGACACATATGATTATGAATTGCATTTTCACAATTAGTGGTACATTCTGTTTATTAATTCGTATCTTTAATTTTTATAATATACAAAGTATTGCAAGTTTCTTACTTATTTTACTTACCATAAGTAAAATAATGCAGGAAATAATCAAAGCAAATGTTGTTATTGTTATGTTATAAAGTACTATATAACGAAAACATTTGATCACTTCTTTCGCATATCTAGAATGAAGAATAAGATGGAAATTAGAACATGAACATGTAGTGCGACTTACGAAAGTATTTAAACACTATCTTACAGAAGAATTTCACATAATTTTAGAATTCTAATTAAAAGAAAAATTAATACATGGGAATAATTTTTCTTATTGAAGATACAGAAAATTTGAATAAATATTCATTATTATTATTATTTATAAAATTCGATCTCAATGACTTTTTTTGATATTGTTAATAAAGTCAGTATAATAAATAGTATTTTGAAGTTAGAATTAAATATATTTTTGCGAATATTTAGAAGAAACAATTATTAAAAATAACGAAAGATATTTTTTTTTTCTTTAAAACATATTTCAAAAGTTCTGTCATTCTTTGTTTATCAAAAAAAAAAAATTGTCCCATATATGATTCTATATACTTACAATTTCATTAAAAATAAAAAATTGATCATTACTATTTCATTAAAAGATAAGAAAATATTCAAATTAATTTTATACATTCTTTATGCTTACCTCCTTAATTGTACTTGTTTCTTAACACAAGTAATCACCATATCAATATCTGTACATTTTTGGAATTCCACGATCAAACATTCGAATCTTGCGACCGTAAACCAAAGTAAAAGTGCTCCGAATACGCTTGCGCATACGTTTGCAGAGCATTGATAGCCAACTAAAGACTGATGTATATATACAATGATAATTGCCAACGAATGGTTAACGCGGAAAGGATACTCTGCATCAAATGGAAAAGAAATCGGCAGTATTATAGGTCCCAGCATGAAAGCGGTCGAAGTCAAATATGAAAATATTATGGAACTTCCATAGAATATCTTGCACTTTTCGATGTATTTTGAGAAGATCTCCATTTCGTTTTGTTGCGCTTCTTTGACACATTTCATCATTTCTCCAACAACACGCTGCAATAATCAGTGGTTAAAGTATAACAAATGAGATAGATATTTATTTGCAAATACAATCTGTAGATTAATTTTTTTTTTTAATTTTTATGAACTTGACATTCGATGTGTCTTTCGATTCTTCTCGAATTTTTTTCGAAAATACAAATAAAGAACAACTTATTTATAAATGTTATAATATTTGGTAATATAATAATTATAATATATTAATATAAAATATTATTTATAATTGTAAATAACTTATAAGAATTTTATGACTAATATGATGATTTTATATAGAAACACAATTCTACAAAATGTTATTTTACCAAACATATTCAATCTTTTTTCGTTCATCATATGTACATTAATATTAAATACTAACGTCAGTATTACCAACATTAAAGATACATAACGTTGGTAATAGCAATTAACAATAACAATTAAAAATAATGCTAAATATCTGAAAAAAGTTGAATAACAGACTTACTTGTAACGAATTGTGTTTGATGAAGCATATAAGAGTTTGGACAATAAGTTGAGTGACACCTATTGATATACAGATGCATTTAGAGATATGTATGACATCGTCGTTGTGCAAATAAATTGAATAGAACAAAGGTAGAAGCATCATGCACGCGCTAATCACGCTACTGATTTGTAAAACTTTGAAACCAAAAATTTGATTTCTGCTACTATTGAGAGGACATGGCCAACAGAAACATATGGCCACGCTGAACCGAATAATATCGATAACTTTATCTGGTGTCGCTTTTCCCAACATAATTTCAAAAGGCAGTGTGTGCTTTGCGAATCAAACGAAGAGGAATGAAAGAATAAAATAGAATGATAGATCGTTGGGTTGCTAGAATGCTGTTACATTACTTCGAAAACAATTGAATAATTGCAGACGTTAATACAATTGTTCTGTATGCACAAAGAATTTAATAAATCATACATTGAATACACATGTATAATAATACTTTGAAGTGAAATAATCTGGGAAATAATTTTTGCACTGAAATCAAAGACAATATCTGAGTCGAGGATAATAATTATTGGTTGCATTATACATTGGCGCGATCTATGGTATTGAACAGGTGCAGAGGGAAAATATCACGCAATACTTATGAGCATACACACGTTTGAGAAATATGTTTTTCATGTCAGTCGATATATAAATCGCACGTTCTTCTTTTATTTTTTTTGACTTCCTTTTTAAGTTTTATGTACGATAAATCGCAGTGGATGATTAGATATGTTGTTCATTGCATTACAGAATATATTTCAATTTAATGGAATTAATCTTTGCCACTGGCGTTTAAAGAAAATGTTGTTGTTCCAAGCTCGAAATCTGCTATCACTTTATGATAAGTATGTATAATTTTTTTATTATAATTTTTATTAATCGAGAAGAAAATTTTAAAGTAATCAAAAACAAAATGTTATCGATCAGTGCCAGTTCAGTGAAAATAAAAAAAATATTATGCATTCATTCTAAAGAAAATTGAATATGCATACATGTAACAAAAGAGTTATATATTGAATATACCGTATTATATAAAAATATGTTTGAGATACAGTGTTTTGCATTAATTCCAGGGTAAAAGTAAGTTAAACTAAATATATATTTACATAAAATGTTATTAATATTTTCGTAATATAATTTATACAAAAATGTCGATGAAGGGTTATTTATTAAGTTATAAAGAATTAAAGTTTGAGATGGAATTGTAGAGTTGCTCTATTTTTCCTAAATTTCATTCAGCTCGACGGAATGCAAAAATAAAATATAAAATAATTCTCGGGTGATAGATATCACAACAAAAATATCATAATTTATTTTCGTGGTGAAATACAGTTTTAAAAATTAACTTACTATGCCCAATATTTGAATATAGAAAGAAGGAATATAAATCAAATCACAAAGATTTAGTCAAAACACAAATCAAATTTTATTTGGTTGATTATCCAATACTTTTATTTATTATCTTATCTGATATTTGAAATTAGAAAATTATTTATTCCATAAATTCAAATATTACGAAATTGAAGCATTTAATTGAAATCAAATTATAATTTTTTATAAGATGAAATTGTTTCACAGAGTTCGATTATATTTATAACATTGGAAATTTATAATTATTGGTATTAATCACGGGAAAATAAAACTGAAAATTACTTATACAAATAATTTATCCATATGTATATTATATTTAAAATTTTATGCAATTTAAAATATATATATTATTCCTATAGTTTTAACAATAAAAACTAACTTTTTTACACCATAATTTTGTAATAAATAACTCTATTATTTGCCTCAAAATTTAATTGCACAATTTATTTATGAAAAATCAACGTTCTATTATCCAAAAAATCTTTTATCTGAACAATATCTCCCTATTATCTTGGATAATGGAAATTCTACTGTACATATGACACGATACGATGTTTGGGTTTGGAGGAAGCTTGGTCACGTAACCTCTGTCTAATCTAGCAATAGCAGTGAGGATAATGTGATCTCACACGTTCTCCTCCTGCAGAAACTTGTTGGATAAATTACGTTTAACGATAGAAGAAGTAGCATACTACCCATGAATATAGTCAATGATTATCGCAGCAGATTATATATACATTTATTATAATTTTTTTTATCGAGAAATGTAATAAAAATTATCTCAAACGATTAATCAAATATTAAAGTAATAAATAAGTAATATTTGATTAAGATAATTTTTATTACATTTCTCGATGAATAATAAAAAAGAATTGAGATCGATAAATCAATCTGCTCCATCCAAAGATGTCACTTATTTCAATAATGATCAAAGATGTTTTATTACATTGAAATTATTCTATAATAGTTTCAGTTTAATTTAATTAAAGATATATTTTATTTTTATTGACGTTATAATATTACGTCACAATTCTAGATTAAATTCTAACTGATTTTTACAATATATTGTATGACACATAAATCATGTTAGTATATTTAATTATAATTATTTGCCAAATGTAAATCGGATAATAAAGTTTTGAATAATAGAAAATTCAATTAAGGAGGATTCGGATTATTTTTAACGTGATATCTAATATAATCTAACATTTTCTATTTGAATTTTTACAACAACATATAATATTCTATAATATTCTTTTCGATCTATATTGCAAAGAAGATTCGAATCATGATACCAATTTGTAAAACTTTGAAATCAAAAATTTGATTTCTGCTATTATCGAGAAAACATGGTCTCACTAAACCGAATAATATCGATTTTTCGCTCTTTCCAACATAATTTCAAAGAACAGTGTGCTTTGTGAATCAAACGAAGAGGAATGAAAGAATAATGAAAGAATGATACGTTTAGATCGTTGGGTGGTAAAATATTATTACATTACTTCGAAAACAATTGAATGATTACAGACATTGCCTGTTAATAAAATTGTTCTGTATGCATAAAGAATTTAATAAATCATACATTGAGTACAGTATAATATTTTGAAATGAAATAATTTGAGAAATAATTTTTGCACTGAAGTCAAAGATAATAACTTTGAGTTCGAAGACAATTATTGGTTGCATTATATATTGGCACGATCTGTGATACTGAACAGGTGTAGAGGGAAGATATCACGCTATGCTGCTCATAAACATACATGACACATTTATTTTTTGAGAAATATGTTTTTCAATCAGTCAATATATAAATTGCACATTTTTCTTTTATTTTTTGATTTCTCTTTCAAGATAAATTACAGTAGATGTGTAAGTAGATGTAATATTGTTTATTGTATTATGTATTATATATTCTAACATATTTTAATTTGACGAATTAAAATTTTTTATTATTAATATTTAAGATAAATTTTAGCGTTATTATATTATTTATATATAATAAATTTTTAATGGAAAATTTCAAAAATATTCAATATCAAGTTCAAAAATATTTTAGACAATATTTTTGGATGAAGAGATAATGTTAATATTATACAATATTAATTAATTTTTTTAGATTAACATAAAGATCATATAAAAATCAATTTTAAGTTTTTAAGTGAAATTACCTGATTTTTATTGTACTAGTCAATACACAATAAATTAAAAAATTTTCGACATAAATAGTATTTTGGTATTTTTTTGTAGGAAATAACAATAAAAGTTATTCACATAATTCCATTTAAAAAATTAAAATTGTATTTCATATGAACTTCTATGCATCCATATATAGAAAAATTATTAATACTAATTATTAATCTTTATACAATGTTTATTTGAAATATTTTTTCATCAATTATTTATCGTTCATATTTCTTGAAATATTTTGTAGTTCGACTTCTGTACGTAAAATCTGAGGTACAAAAAACAACTAGTGCATCACACATATATATGTTGAATATGACAATAGAGTTAATTAATTGTTATTATATATTATATATAAATTATTGCATATTAATTATGTTTATTATTCTGAATAAAAATACAAATCATCGAATTTAAGATATAATCGTGTTTTGAATTTATATATATTAATTATTGATTCCAGAATTCGAATAAATTGAAATATATATATCTAACAAAATGTTAATATATTTGTGGAACGTTTTTGGAGAGTCGAAATTAAAAGAAACACAAAAATCGCTATAGAAAAACAGCTTACTTATTAAACTGTACGCAACTGAAATTTGCATTAAGTGAAGCGGAAAACGAAGACGGAAATAGAGTAAGATTCGTTTCCTGTAACGTTAATCCTTCAGATTCCTTCAAGTGGAATGCGAAAATAAAAATATAAAATAGCTCAACCGGATTCATAACAACTAAAATTATAATGATATCAGCATCATATTTAGTATCTATCATTGTAATTTTGATTATCGTAATTTATTTAAAGATTTGTGAAGAAGAATTATATTTTTTACTTTTACATTTTAATTATTTGATATTATTATTATTATATAGCATATAATTAATATATATTGATGTTGAGATATTTCAAGTTCAAAATTTATGAGGAAGTAATTCTTTAATTCACTTTTTTATACATTTTGGATACTGTTATGATATTTATAGAAACAATGAATACTTTCATGAATGTATATGAAATTAGATAAAATTCCATGCAATTCCAGTATGCATAGAATCTTTTTGTGCAAATATCTCATATTCAGGATCAAAATTATTCAGGATGATGTTCTTGATAATATGAATACAAATATCAAAATTAAGATGATCAAAGCTATCCCTTCTATAATTATCCAAAAAACTTGTTTTGTACAAATATTTAAACTGAAAAATCGCATGAATTTTAAATATTTGTAGAATTATTTCTTGTTGTGTATTAAATCATTGAAATCTCTTTCAAATTCTTTGAATTCTTTGCTCTGAATAAAGTATTTACATGTTTTTAGCTTATGCAAAATTTGTATGCACGATAACCTTTCATTATTACATTATCGAAATTATTCCATTGTATTATTCTACGCAATATATAATAATAGCTTTCTCTCTTCTATTCTTCTTTCTGATCCACTAATTTCTTCATTTTCATTTATTCTCCATTTTTAAATGATATGATTTTAATAATGTACATACGTTTTCATTGTCACATTATTATTATAATATATATATATATATTATTTTCATTATAAAATACTTGATTATAGATATATACAGAATGTTTTTCATTATTCCTGCATTTTTCTCGAAAATAACACATTTAAAAATATATATGTATATATCAATCAAATATTCATTATATATATTTTACATACATATAGTATTCT